CGACTGAGCCACCCAGGCGCCCTAAAAACCAATTCTTGAAGGCTCCCATTTATGCTGGCATCACAAGTCTTAAGTGAAACCTTTATCCTCCAAAAAAGAGGATATAGCAATTTTAAATACTTTTGTACCAACATAGGAACACCTTTATACACAGCAAATATTAATAGACCTAAAGGGGGGAAGGACAGCAATAGAATAATAAAGGATTTAAGTATGCCATTCACATCAACAGATCATCCAAACAGAAAACCAATAAGGAACCATCAGCCTTAAAGGACACATTAGACTAGAAGGACTTGATAGAACATTCCATCCAAAAGCAACAGAATACACATTCTCAAACGCACATGGAACATTCTCCATGGAACATAGATGTTAGGCCACAAAACAAGTCTTAACATAAGAAGACTGAAATCCTATCAAGCATCTTTTCTAACCAGAATAATATGAAACTAGAAATCAGTTACAAAAAGAAAACTGGAAAAGCGTTATGTGGAGAGTAAACAACATGCAACTGAACCACCAATTGGTCAAAGGAGAAATCAGAAAATACCTTGAACAGGGCGCCGGGGTGGCTCAGCTGGTTAAGTGACTGCCTTCAGCTCAGGTCATGATCCTGGAGTCCCAGGATCAAGTCCGCGTCGGGCTCCCAGCTCAGCGGGGAGTCTGCTTCTTCCTCTTACCCTCCCCCCTCTCATGCTCTCTCTCTCTCCTGCTCTCTCTCTCTCAAATAAAATCTTGAAAAAAAAATACCTTGAACAAATGAAAATGGAAATAATATCAAACATATGGGGTGTAGCAAAAGCCGTTCTAAGGGGGAAGGTGATAGGAAAAAACTAAAACAACCTGACTTACAAGCAACCTCAAGAAACTAGGAAGAGAGCAAATAAAGCCCAAAGTTAGGAGAAGGAAGGAAATAACAAAGATCAGAAAGAGAGACTAAAAAGACAAAATTGACAAACCTTTAGCTAGACTCCCCAAGAGAGTACTCAATCAGAAATGAAAATGATGTTACAACTAAAAAGGGGAGGGGAGGTGCACCTGGCTGGCTCAATCAGTAAAGCATGGGACTCTTGATCTCAGGGTCATGAGTTCAAGCCCCACATTGGGCTTAGAGCTTACTTAAAAAAAATTGATGTTACAACAGATACCACAGGGGCACCTGGGTGGCTCAGTCGTTAAGCGTCTGCCTTCGGCTCAGGTCATGATCTCAGGGTCCTGGGATCGAGCCCCGCATCGGGCTCCCTGCTCGGCGGGAAGCCCGCTTCTCCCACTCCCACTCCCCCTGCTCGTGTTCCCTCTTGCTTTCTCTCTGTCAAATAAATAAAAATCTTTAAAAAAATAAAAAATAAAAAAAATAAAACAACAGATACCACAGAAATACAAAGGATCGTAAAGAGACTATTATGAACAATTATATGCCAATAATTTGACGATCTAGAAGAGGTCAATAAATTCCTAGAAACATACAACCTACCAAGACAGAATCGTGAA